TCAAACCGACAAGAAATCGATGGAACCTTGCTTGCTTTTGGCCGTCGGGTTCCCTTCTAGGTTATCAATGGACTCTTCCAAGCTCTTAGGGTTTCTCTCTAACGATTATCACAATTAGAGGAATTAGGGTTAGGGAGGATGAATTAGGGTTAGGGAGGAGGATTAGGTTAAAAAAAAGTTTATGGTTAGGTTTAAATATTTGGAAAAAAAAAACCCTAATTAAACCCTAATATACAAAAGCCCAAGCCCATCATCCAAATTGCAAAGTTAAAGCGAGTTATGCAGAACTAACCCCTCAAGTTTGGTCAACTTCCGAAACTAACCCAAACTTAATATATATATATACACACACACACACACATCTGACGGGTATTAGACTATATGTCGGTACTTTTTCATAAATCATACATTTTTTTCCAAAGTTCTACATATCTTACTGTGCAAAGTTCTGCGCATCCCTTTGAGGCTATGGAGACTGGCCCTGTTTAACTATTTTTCCCAAAGAATCTGCAGCAGCATTGAACTGTTTTAAGATTAACCACTTGCATAAATGATGTTTCTAAACATGTAAAATTAACACATGCCCATTTCTAACGTTCATTGTACTTATTATTTTCTTCATCCATCTTTTCTTATTCACTTAGATATTAAAAATATTATCATATATTCTTGATAGATCTAACCTGATCACCTGAGTTCAATTAACTGATGTTTTCCTACTTGAATGCCAGGGGCTGTCTATGGTTTTGGCTCTTATTCTCATAGCTCTTGGGCCACACCGAATAAGCTACAATAATGATGATGAGTATACTCCAGAAGGGGTTCCATTGCTGAAGAATTATTCAAATCAGTCCCCTTGTGTCTATGGATCCAAGATCGATGCTTGGAACAGTTAGGTAGCTTTACCAAATTTCAGTGCCATAAACCATTCTACTTCAATAAAACATAAACACTTAAAATCCTTCGTTGCATCTCATACTTGTGTTGGTATTTTATGGCTTCTGCTACCTAGAACTTTAAAGGCATGAATGATGAGTTTCTTGGGTACTAATCCATGTTTTTAATCAACTTCTTAGAAAGTTAAGATTGCGCTTGGTTGCACATATGCATTTTATTTACATTATTTTTATGATTTGAACAAATTGTGAGTTAATGAGGCTTAAGTTTGTGGGTATTTTCTGTTTTCAAGTTTTCATATCAATTGCAATTTGTATTTCAGAGAAGCAGGTCAATATGAGGCCGTTACATAGCAGCATTACGTGGCAGCTCTGAAGAATGAGATAAGCGGGTTCTAGACATCTAGCTACATATGAAAACAAGGCCAAATAAACAGAACACACATGAAGTGCAGGTAGAGGTAAATATTTCATTGGACACTAAATCATATAGATTGTTAAAATGGTAATTTTATGTCATTTAAACTGTCCATTCAGAATACTTTGCCAAACAGTTATTTCTCATTCTGTACTAAATTATACTGACCGCTTGATATTCAGTATTGATAGAATTCATCTGAACATGTAAAGTATCTAGTGATTTAACTGGAGTGCCTTGGTGTTGGTGCATAGGAAACTGATCAAACTCGGTTAACCGGTGGCTGCATCCAACAAGGGGAAGATCTTGAGACATCTTTTTTACGGATACACATGTAAGCCTTTGTTATCTTTCGCTGTACATATATATATAATGCTGCAAAATAAAGTAGCATCTTGATCAATTTGTATGATGTATGTGTATTTCTTCTTAATAATAACGCATGCCATGTATTTCTTGTATGTAGAATGAGGTGAATATAAAAAATACATTTTTTGTATTGTTCATATTATAAGCTTAGCAGTGTAATCTGTAATAAAACAATTCAATGTTACTCTAGACAAGTTTAGATACATGTTACAAATGGTTTTCACAAAAAATAAAAGAATCAATCGATTGGACCACTTTCTTAGCACCACTTGGCATCCTGCACTTTTAAATGACTGTAACCCAATACCTACAGTTTGAAGATTTTACAACTTGATTGGACATTGGGTTGGATTATTTCACGTGGTTTTTGAACACCCTTGATCACAACATTTCTAATCCATACAATATAGCTACCTTATGACCACTGAATAGAATTTGCCCTTCAGTTTTAGTAGGTCTTATTGTCATACAACGCTCAATGTGGCAAGTTTCCACCTTAGCCAGCCATCCCTAGTTCCATACATTTATGTGATGCATTACTTCTTCTTCGTTTTCTCCATCTTGTTGAATCATGGAATTTAAATACTTGAAATCGTCCCTTTTGTCCCCCAATGTTGACTTCTGTTCTAACTCACTCTTGTAACGTAAATATTATCTTTTCAAACGACTGATTCGTATACCTCATGTTTTCTCTACTTTTGAATTTGCAAACTCCCACAAATCTCTTGGAATATCTTGTTGAAAAACATAGCAACCCCTGGTGTACAGAAAATATTCCATTTCATCACAAATCCTCATTCTCTTGTACATACCATACCTCCAAGATATCGTTGAAAATTATTTCTTTTCCAATTTTACCTTTATATGCGACAAGTTCTAATAAACATGTTAAAAGAAACTAATACGTACAAATGCTGAAAACACGTGTGCATAAAATATAACACAACTTATCAAACACGTCAAGAGGATGAAGAAGGAGAATTCCAAAAAGCAAGGCCTCACGGTGGTGTTACTGAACCGATGAGCAATTGATATCATCCTGATTCCACAACGCAACAAATTAGCACAACTGATTAGCATCAAATCTGCTGCAACCTCTAAAAATTAGCGATGAGGAGAGATATTGGGAATTAAAATAGATATTTATGTTGATAATTCCACGATTTGTGAAATTAACACAAAATCACAGTCATATAAGTCATTTAGAGAACTAAAGTGCTCCGTTGAAAAATTTATAATCATCGGTTCATAAAAAAGTTATTGCTCAGAAATTGTAATGATTCATTCACAAAAATTTATAATCAAGTTGAACAAAATCCTGCAAACGATAACTAGGAAAGGAAAGAATTTTGTAATATCTCAGAGAAAAGGTCTGCTACATTCTCATGTTTCACTCACCAAAACACCTCTATTGCTGTATGAAAACTCTTTGTTAATTGGTTTGAAAATATTACGGCTCGATTAGACAGTGGTTGCTTTGGGCTGTGTTGTTTCGTGTTTTGTTGGGTTGATCTAATTTTATAATAAAAATGTCTAAAACATTCTTCCTTCAATTGAAATTAACAAAAATAACTAAGCAGTTGTTAGTTGGACTTAGAGGGACGAAAATCAAAAGAATTTGCATACTTGCGACACAAATTCAGAATAAATGAAGTTTAAGGATGAAATATGTTAAATAATGACAAAGTTCAGGGACCAAAATCGAAATTTACTCTAAAATTAATTATTACGGCTGAAATTTGCTGCACGGCACACCCCCGGGCCCCTAGCCTAAACGTCGAGCGGCCATCTACAAAGATCATCCACACATGCTACATCCTTCACCGTTTATGTCACCAACAACCCAATCGCCATCGATAAACTGTTCTTTATAACTCTCTCTCTCTCTCTCTCTCTCTCTCTATATATATATATATATATATATACGCTGTCCGGAGGGGTCATCGACGGAATAGGAAAGGAGAAATGACAGACCGGTACTTTGAGAATTTCATGCGAGAGGAAACATCAACAGTAGAAGGAGCTGATGAAGAAGAACGAAGCGTGGGTCTTCATAAAGAGTCTCAAGATTCTCTCTTGAAACTTCTTTCTATGCCTTACCCTACTCTCTCTGCCAGACTCAAAAGTGCCGCTATAGATCTCAAACAAACTGTACCATCTCTCTCTCTCTCTCTCACCCTTCTTCTAGCTACATGTGGTTGTAGTCATTTGCTTTTCTTCTTTTCTTGTTTTTTATTTTTAGTTTTTCCGGGTTTGGCGTGCCGACCATGTGTTTGTGGAAATGGTTTACAGGTTGTAGGGAAAACATGGGGGTTCACTCTTGAAAGAAATCGAAGAATAAGTGACTTTACTCTTTATACTGGTGCTCTGGGTACTGCTTTCTTGCTCTTCAAATCCTTTCAAGTGACTGACAACAGGAATGATCTCAATCTCTGTTCTGAGATCATCAAAGCTTGTGACCCTGCTTCTTTACACGCCAGGTACCCTTTCTAGTAATCTACTCTTTCGCTCAAAACTTCAATTCAATGGAAAGAACATTCTTTATAGTTTTGATGCATAAATCATCGCAAATCATTGTTTAACATGTTCTCCATGAGGGTAGTTGCGTATTAACGATGGATAGAATGTGTTTTCTTGAAAAACAAGAACAATTTTTTCTTGAATTGTATTAAAGATTATACAGATTAACATATTAGTGATATTACCCAAAACTAAAGGTTGTAAACTAACTTGGAATGTAGGGAGTAGAATTCATCTGAATTGCTAATCTGATCATCTGTTGGGTGATAGGGCTGTAACGTTTATATGTGGACGGGTAGGAGTTTGTGCACTTGGTGCCGTTGTGGCAAAGCATCAAGCAAATCAGCAGATGCTTGAATACTATTTGGCCGAATTCAAAGGGGTAACAATTGGCTTTATTTGCTTAAACACAAGGCCGATATATATATATATATATGTATATAACAATGATTTCATGTTCATGGGGTTTGTTTGATTTTGGGAACAGATTAAAGTAAATGAAGATCACCCAGATGAACTGTTATATGGGAAACTTGGATTCTTATGGGCATGTCTGTTCTTGAACAAGAACTTAGGTGATGGAGTGATTCCTTCCACCTTCACCGTAAGATTTGTCATGGAATTTCTTCTTAGATTTGCATCTTCTTACATCTGGATCTACGTATGATTTGAGAACCATGCTATATTGGAACAGCGTGCACTCGTGAATAAGGTAATAAAAAATGGAAGAAAATTGGGTGTCGGATCAAGATGCCCGTTGATGTTCAAGTGGTTCGGTCAGAGATTCTGGGGTGCTGCCCATGGTTTGGCTGGGAATATGTATGTTTTGATGCATTTCGACCTGCCGTCAGATGTAGTCGAGGATATCAAGAAGACCCTCAAGTACATGATTGAAAACAGGTTCCCTAGTGGGAACTATCCCTCTTCTGAAGAAGAGAATACTAGCGACCTTCTTGTACATTGGTGTCATGGAGCACCTGGAATGGCCCTCACCCTAGTCAAAGCGGCTGAGGTAAAAAAGCGCACATTTACATGTATCGTATCTAATCTATGTTATTGTTATGTTTGATAAACTGGCTGATAAACTGGTCATATTTGCTAAAAACTAAATGACAATGTAAAATGACCTAAACGGACATGTTGAAAAATTAATTAGAAAAGTATATTATAATTGGAAAAAAAAAACTTCTGGAGCTTAGTGTTTCAATGGGCTAACTTATCACCTAACTTATGGCTCACCAAATGTGGTTTTTTGTTATTGGTTCACCAAAACTAGACTAGAACAATAATGTTCAAAATTTCCTGTTTGTCTTCATTCTGAATGGCGTGAATTATAATTGGTCAGATATTTGATGATAAAGAGTTTCTGGAAGCGGCCATTGATGCAGCGGAAGTTGTCTGGAAACGTGGGTTGCTGAAACGAGTTGGCCTTTGTCATGGCATCAGCGGGAATGCGTATGTGTTCCTCTCACTTTTCCGCTTAACTGGGAACGTTGAGTTCTTATACCGGGCAAAGGCGTTTGCTTGTTTTTTACTGGATAGAGCCGGGAAGCTGATATCGGAAGGGGAAATGCATGGAGGTGATAATCGGTACTCGTTGTTTGAAGGAGTTGGAGGTATGGCGTATCTCTTCCTGGACATGATTGATCCTGCTAATGCTAGATTTCCTGGCCATGAACTTTGAAAATGTATGTATACAATCTGTTTAGATGAAGAAAACAAAACAGGAATCTTGAATGTATAATAACTAAGGGCTGTTTACTAAACGCTTACTTGGTAAGTGCTTACCAAATAAATTTCTTTATCGGATGAAAATGACAAGGGCCAAGAATCTTATCGGGTAAGAGCGATGAGAAGGATGGAGAGTCTTACCCGGTAAGTGAAGATTACGACTCTTACCCAGGTAAGCGCTTACCCGGTAAAATGTTGCATTCAATACGTTTTGATGTACTAAAATCTTACTCATCAAAATAAATTATAGTGTTGACTCCTAATAGGTAAGCACCTACCGGATAAGCATTTAGGTAAACAGCCCCTAAATATTTATCAGTAATGCTAAATTACCTATGAATTGCTATTGTTGTAGCCAAGTCAAATTTCATTATTCTGAGATGTGATCGCCTCTGAGATTAACAAATAAAGGGTTGTTTAGTTGTTTTTTCATCAATAATTACGGTATGGATTAATATGAATAAACCGTTTGAATTTATTAATGATCACTTTTATCTTTAATTGCTTGCTTTTTTATAAGCTTTTTGTTGGATCCTCTTTTTTTTTCCTTCCTATTATTAAAGACGTTCTTAAGAATTCATTTTTTAACATTAGGAGCTTTCAGTTCGGTACAAGGTCTATTGATAATACTTTAAAACTTTGTATATAATACTAGTGTTAAATTTTAGTACTCAAATATATACCATTTATCGAACCAATATTGATGGTTTTCAATTGGTGAGCGATAAATTATAGCATTTTTATGTTTTTATTAATTTATCATTTATTATGATCATTTTTTTTTTCATTTTTAGTTATATTTATATATTTTATTTAACTCTTATAGTTTTCTATGTATATTAACTAGTTTTGGTAAATTAGTTAAATTTTTACTTTTACATCCTATTATGCCAACACATTGTAATTTAATATTTAGCTTTACAACTTTTTAGTTATTAAATTTTCAACCAATTAAAACAAAACATGTGTCAAAATCACATTTTATTAAAAAGAGGTTCATGAAAATTGATTCCGTAAGAGCTACTTTTACTTTAGCATGTCGGTTGAAGGTGACTAGTCTTTTTCACAGTAAAAAAACCCAATAAAGTTCTTATCACAACAAGGAACCGTGGTTTATAGGGAGAGTATCGAATGTAGGGGAGGAAATGCCATGGCTTAATGGAGAAAGCAAGACCTACTCATAAACTTAACGAATGAGCATTCAAAAATTATTTTACATACAGTTTCCCAAACAAGGGCAGATTTATTAGCAGTTTAATGAGATTAATAGGACCCACAACTTACGAGTCAAATATACATGATTGGTTGGAGTTTGGTAGTGATTTAATGATACAGAAAATGGTTTATCTACTAAGTTTTTAGGAGAGAACTTTATGCAGGAAGTCAAATTTTTCTCAAACTTGTCTTTCTCGATTAAAAAACATGCTCATTTTATTTCAAATAAAATCTTCTCCACATATACAAACAGCATACCCGTCTGTATTTGTAGCTAATAACCACGTGATGGTAGCCCTTGTCAAATGGAATTGTAGGTATCTAGTTTTGGCTAAATCCCAACATAATTCTAGTCCTAAAAGGAATGACAATGATAGTATGGTTAAGGAGGAAAGTTGTGGACAGCCAACATGGTAAAATAAAGCAAACAGAATCCTTATAAACAACAAAGATGCATATTTTGGAGGTATCTTCTTTCTCAGGTATTTATGACATCAATACAAACACAAATGACACATTGTCACGCCCTTCTCTAAGGCAAAGAATATATGACCAACAAAAATTTACAACTTTCTATGCATATATAAGTATTACTATTACTAATATTAGTAAGTCATTACGACATAAAAACTTTCTAAATTTGGCAACCAAGGTTTCTCAATTCGCAATGACGTCGTTTTTCTGCTGAACCAAATATTGAGTATCCGATAGCTCTACTTCCTCTTCTTGCCAATTCCGATCCTTTTGAAACAACAGCTCGATCTGCTCCAATGACTTCCCTTTCGTCTCTGGAACGAGCTTGTAAACAAAAGCAACCGATAAAGCCGAAAGCACCGTGAAAATAGAAAATGTTCCTGCCATTGAAATTGCACGAGAAACCGATAGAAATGACATTGCCACCACTCCACTGCAAACCCGATTGCCTACTGCCCCTAACGCTGATGCTTGAGCTCGAAGACGTAGTGGAAAGATCTCGGATGTTAGAACCCAACAAACAGGTCCGATTCCGATTGAAAAGAAGGCTACATTCCCACATATTGATAGAATCGCCAATGCCACTCCGAGAGACGTTGCTTTGAACAACGACAGACTGATCGCCAAACCGCATAAACAAATGGTCATTCCGATCGTGCTCACGTATAGCAACGGCTTTCTCCCGACTTTGTCGATGAGCATAATAGCGACCAAAATAAAGGCGGTTTTAGTGATTCCAACGGCCACGGTTGCCGCCAAGAGTCTTGTTTTATCCTGAATTCCGGCGGTTTGCAGAATCTCGGGACTGTAATATACAGTGGCGTCGATTCCGGTGATCTGTTGGAAACACTGGATTCCGAATCCAGTAACTAGCATTCTCCTTAGTGAAGGAGATGGACTCAGTAATTCCCTCCAAACGGCTTTCTCTTCCTGATTCTCTCCAGCCCCAATTCCGGCCGCCTTCAGGATTTCCGACAATCTCTCCTCAACCTCGGCTTCGATTTCATTCGTTTTCATCAAAACTGATCTTGCTTCATCCACTCGGTTTTGCATGACTAGCCATCTCGGAGACTCCGGGATTATGCATAGCGCGAATGCTATAAAAACCGACGGAAGAATTCCGACAGCGAGCATTATTCGCCAGTTCACGTGCGAAGGGAAGCCGGAAAACACATAGTTAGAGACATACCCCAAAAGAATCCCGAGATTTATGAATATTTCAGGGAAGGAGGTGAAGGAGCCTCGGGAGATCGTCGGTGAAATCTCGGCGATGTAAACCGGAGCGATCATGACACCAAATCCGATTCCAACTCCGGCGAGGAGGCGACCGATCATCAGAACTTGGAAAGTTGGAGCTAAGGTCATTATAAGTGCACCAATCTGAAACACAATTGCAGCTATACCCATCGTCCATTTCCGGCCAAGCGCATCGGAGGCACGGCCGCCGCCTAGACTGCCCAATAGGGAGATGACACTCAGGCAACCAACGAGAATTTCTTCTTGAAACTCGGTGATTTTTAGATCTTCTTGGATAAATATGATTGCTCCACTCATAACACCAACATCTGAAAATCCAAAATTTGTGAATCAAGATTCCATTTTGAGTGGACATAAAGAATCAAATGGAATCCCGATTCCAGTGAAGCAAAATCAAATAAGGGATTCAAAGATTTATTCACATTCTTGACCCAAGTGATTATATTCTCAACAATATGGGTTTTCTTTATGCAATAATCACTTGATTAATGGAAATTAAAGCATTATTAGGCGAAAGTTTACATCCATGAAGCCTAAAACACTAAGTTCCCATTCTGATTACCTATAACAAAAGGCAAGCAACAAAGTACAAGTTATAACAGCATGATTACTCTGAATCTTACCCAAAAAAAGATTGGCCTAACAAACAGTTGATGGTCATTTTGTCACGAATGGATAGGGATTTAGTAGTAGTGTACGATATGCATCAAACACTTGTACCTAAGCCAGAATTCCAACGCATTTAACACCCCCATAAATTAGGCAAGTTAGGCATTTATGGTCTGTAACTTGAAAAAGATCAATGCCATAAAACAGCTGAAACCTAAAACACTTAAATCACGTGAATTTAGGCAGTTTTGATAAGGATCATTAGTTCAAGTTTTGTTTTATTTTGGGATTTCAAATGAAGACCAATTAGATGAAGGGATAAACAAAGTCAAACCTTAAATCCAACCTAAAAAAGGGGTTGTTTCTGGCAACAATGTGTTGTAATATGAGCTGAAATAGTTGTACATTTGCCTGTCGGCAAACAAACTTCTAAAACTGGATTTAAAGGTTTGAGTTAGCATTAAAGAGAGAAGAAAAGATCGAATACCATAGCCAAGGAGAACATTGTTGAGAGATGCAAATACAGCACAGGCAAACACATATTTTCTTGTACTTTTGCTCCTTTCCTGCTGTGTCTGCTTGTACGGTACAACCTCCAAGTCATCATCACTGTAATCAGAATCCATTCTTCTGTATTTGTTCTTCGATCCAAGAGGAACACCAGACATACCCATATCACCGCTCCCATTTTCTTGGACACCCATCCTGTAAACGTACAAGTAGGGATCCAAAAGTTACGATTCGAATCAATCAAATCCCAATTCGTCGATGGGTTTTCCGATTCAGACGATGATGAGATGAACCCAGTAAGGAATTGGGTTAAGTCATCTGATCTGATATCAGATCTGGAAACTGGAAAGGAGAGGAATTCAAGAAGTGAATATATATGTTTATTTGAATTTTATGAGCAAGTGGGACCCTTTAATGGCGAACTTGTCTAGGGGAGATTGGGAGAGAATAAAGAATGGTAAAACTTCACTTATCAACACGGTCTCTGACCAAAACTTGAACCTTGAAGCAATTTAAGGAGGAAAGATGAACCGGAGCTTTCGTGGAAACCATAGATGATGGCGACTGCCTCTGCCTCATTAAAAAGGAAAATAAATATTCTGTCATAAACATTTTAATTAAATAAATCTTTTTAACATCACAAATCTTTAAAACAGAGGAGAAAAGTATTTTAGAATTTCCAAATCATCTTTGCTATGATAAACTATAAGGGTACTTAGGTACATGGAAGAGGTAGGATATGAGCGGACAAAATTCATCATCCCACGTTTGGCAGACGTGATATTGGATAAGAACTTATAGTATCATGTTTGGTGTGATATGAGATAGAGACAAGAACTAAAATAAGATAGGACAACGCGTGATACAAAAAAGGTTTTCTTGTTTCACCAGGATAGGTGGAATAAGACGGACAAGAATGAGATATAAATTAAAGTATTACTAATATACCATTGTTTGATATTTGATTTAATAGTCACCACCATTAGTTCCGGCTGCCACAGCCACTGACGACCACCGTCTGCAACTTCCACCCTGCTCCACAACAAGCTCCTTCACCACGTCCGCAACCACCACTGTCCATCACCATCTATTACCACTTTCACAAGCACCGTTGGCTGCCTCCATCTCCTCCTTCGCTATAACAACCTCTTTCATCTCTTCCTTTGCTATAACAACCTGCTCCACCTCCTTCTTTACTACAACAACCTCCTCATCCACCTCTATAACCACCGTCGGCCACTAGCCACAACTACCTCTTCCATCATTGTCGATCACCATCACCGTTATCCACCATCTTCACGTCCTCCATAGCCACCATTGTCCACCAATCATCAATGGCTCTACCTCCACAAACCATTGTTGTTACAACAATCTTCACCATGTCTTTGTCAACTTATAAGGATCTTCCAAATCGAATAAAACACAATTTCTCTTTTGTATAAATCAGGTTTTTTTCGAACTATCATCAATTATATCAATTTTCTACTCAAATTTGGTATTATTATTATATATGTATGTATTTATTTATTCTTCTATGCTTACTCAATCGCCTATCATCTAACTCTATCTTCAATATATTCTAATCCTCTAATGAAGCTTTTTATGAAGATTTTCTTGTATATGACGTGGAATAGAAATACATTAACTATTGTAGGCGTTAGTGAGAATCTTAATAAATATGGATAGAAATAATAGAAGTTAAATTTTAGAGAATATGAATATATAAATTTAGTAAACTCTTACCTTATCTACTCGGTGGATGGATGAATGTTATTGAACACTTCATGGTAGACAATATTTTTTATAAGTGTATAGTGTTCCATTTCTTCATCAACATTTATTACGGTTAATCCTTCATGCGATGTCACTTGTAAAACAGCCACATATAGTTGTCCGTGTGTGAAAATCTATCAATTGGAATATTATGCAATTATATGTGATTATAAGTACATATTTAAATATGCTAATATAAGAAAATTGAGGAATGCACCTGTTTTGGGAGGTATAGGCCGATGCAACTTAAAAATTGTCCCTGACTTTTATCAATTGTCATAGCAAAGCATGAGACCAACGGTATTTGACGTCGGTTAAGCTTGAATGGTCATTTGGATTCGTTGGGCGACATTATTATTCTTGGAACAGTGACATTTTTTCCTTTATTAGTTCCTGAAATAATGCCACCTCTAACAAACCATGTTCCAAGTAATGTGACAATCAATCGTGTTCCATTGCACAACCTTCTGTTTGATTGATGTTGCATAATAACATAAGTGGGGCTCCTACCTTTAGTTGAATCTCATGAATTGGTATGCCATTGGATCGCAAACTGTTTAAGAATTCAGTTGGATAAAGGAGGTCTCCATCATTTGTTTGTGCACTTCCTTTGCATACCGTGTCTCAACTTAGATATGTTTTTCCTTCTCCTGAAAGCAATGTCCATGATAAATGTGTTCAATTCTAGGACCATAACATTTTTTGGCGTAAGAATTTCCCTTTCAGTTATATATGAAGGACTGTTATCGTTTTCCAAAAGAGAAGGATACATCATTTCAACGACTGATTCAATCGAGTTGCCAATTGTTGATTGGAAGATGTCAGCGGGTAACTGTAGCAATTCATTGGTTACGTCATCGTTGGCAGTGCCATTTCTGACTTGTAACATCCATGAGTCAAAGCTTTAGTATTTATTATATCTATCAGTGACAAAGTGTTGCATTGCAAGCGCATGTTCTCATTGAGCCGATATACTTTGAACAAAGGCCACAAATAAGATGAATTTAGTGCGGCATTCACAATGTCGGCTCAATTTTCCTTGGTATTACTGGCAAAATTTGTCGAAAGTCATCACCACAAACAATTGTGAGTCCACCAAATGGTTTATCTTTACTATTTTCATAACGACAACTCATCATGTCACACAAAATATTATCCAATGCTTCAAAGGAGTGTTTATGTGCCATAGGGGCTTCATCCCAAATAATCATCGTTTTTTGAAGTAACTCAGCTATATGTGTGTCGCGATGAATTTCGCAAGTTGACTCTACAGTTAAATCCAATGGGATTCGGAATCTTGAGTGAGTCGTTCTTCCATTTGGTAGTAACAAAGCAGCAATGTCCGAAGTAGCAACTGGTAATACTATCTTTCCTTTTGATCTAAGTCTTGATACGACTGTATTTCAAAGAAAATATTTCCCAGTTCCTCCACGACCGTGAATGAAAATAAGGTCACTTCGATCATTGTACACTGATGCCATTCTTAAGCTTTAGTCTGGAACGTATTGAGACTAGAAAATGCAATGTCATGAGCAAATTGAGACTTTTTCCTAGTTTCTGGTAACAAAGAACCAATCCTATGATAATTTTAACCATTAACCCTGTAGATTTAGGGACCTTTGGCACAATTAATCTTAGAATCCACACGACACCCGAGCGAAGTGAATGCAAGCATTGAATTGTAAGTCCTTATCTCTTTTTGAAAATTGACGTCTTTTTTCCCATATTCTAAGAAAAGAAGGCAATCAAGTGTTTGTGATGTTAGGGGAAGCAATGGTAATTTGACACGTCCCTCCAGGCAACAAGTCATAAACTTTGGATTAGACATCTTTCTGTCCTTTCGAGATTTTTCTTCATACCACATGATGGCACCACAATGTCCACAAGTGTGATTCGGTTTACCAAAAATTCAAGAGTTGCAAAGTTTTCTGATAAGATTAAACATGTTTAAAATTATTATTAAGTTTTATAGAAAAATTGAAATATCAATATTGTAATGATAAAAACTAACACTTTTAGGACATAAGTTCAATAATTGTGGTGATGACCACGTTTCCATCAAAATTTGTCACAAAAGTTAATATTAATCTTCATGCAATTGTTTGACATCAATTTTAAAACTTTTAATTAAAGCCCACATTTGAGAATTGATTTAAGGAAATAAAATGAATGTTGATAGTGGATAATTAGGAATAATTATGTATTGAAAAATAAAAACCAACATTTACCCTTTATTTATGAATTAGGCAAAATTAATTTCGGTGATTTTGTTTTATAAGTATCCACCTTAAAAATGTTATTTTAAGTTAACCGAGATACCTTCTTGAATAAGAGTATTTCGGCTTGATTTCGTCACTGACAAAGTTTGAATACTTCTTTGTGCATCCATCTTTATTGCCAAAATTGCTAGATCAGTCTCTATACCAGTAGTCATCCACTAAAACATCAAAGTTATTCTCTATAAGCCTGTTTTGAGACTGATTTAATATTTAGTTGTAGTTATTCTGTTTACCTTGATCAGTCTCTATACCAGCTATTTTTAAAGTTTTGTTGGCTTACATGTTGATCTTAATCAGATCTATGCAAAAAGAATGTCCCAGGATTGTTGGCCTTGCAACTGGTTTAACCTCGACCATGGTCTGGTTCAATCTCATTTAGAGCTTTTTCATTTCTAAATCCTGTATAAAGTTACAGTAGAACAATCTATTGTTGGATGTTTAATGGAGACTTCAAAAGATGGTAGTGGTGTTAGATTTTGGTTTGAAGCTTGGTGTCAATCTTCTAATCTCTATCCAGAATTGGTTGCATACGGTGGATTGAAGTGTGTCATAAATTGACTTTGAAAGTTGGGGTCGATTGTAATCAACAGTTCCACAGTAAACTGTCATTCATGCAGCTAACTGACTATTCCTATGCTGCCACAAAGAATATTTCAAAATCAATGGATTTGTAACAAGCGGAATGGGTGGTTTTGGTTTTGTGATTGGATTTTCATGATTCGTTTTGGTAACCTCAGTTTCAATTGATAGTTTCTTGAGTTGGAGATGGGCCTCAAACAATTGATGGAATCAATGGTGGGATGATTTTGACAATGACCGGCGATGTTGAGCGTGATCAATGACAGCTATCGATGGCAATGGAACTTGTAGGCAGAAAGGGTTGGGGTTTCATTCACGAGAATGAATTGCTTCATGATTCATGGATAATGATGTGTTTTTGGTTGATGAATTCAAGATGTGGAATTGGAATTTGTGGGTCTTGGGATGAATCTAGGGTTTGAGGGAAATGATTGTGAATGGCTCCTTGATTATGGCTTTTGATCCTTACCTGGATTCTTCAAATGGCGACTTTGGTCCTGTTCTCGATGATGATGTTGAATATGGGAACTGATCCATGTTTATGTTGGTTCCGGATTTGGTCGCTTCCAAATAGAGATGGCCAAAAACCGGTTCCGGGCTAGGTCGGGCCGGTCTCAATTGGTCCTAACATTTCTCATAACCGGTTATAACCGGTTTCGGCGTAACCGGTCCCGGTCCGGTCGAAAATGATAGGACCGGTCAAGGTACTTCGTAACCGGTTATGGGCCGTCGGTCCCGGTCCCAATCTTAAAAAATAAGATTTTATTTTTACTTTTTTAATGATATATATTTTTAATACATTATAAAA